AACGTACTGCTGGCTTTTGCCAGCAGAAACGCTTCATGGTAGACTCGTCCAAAGCAGCGCTCGCCCAGCCGTTCGCTCGTCCACTGCCGCAGTGCAGCGAAGAAATAAAGCCCCCATTTCGTGGTTTCCCCACCATTTCGCCCCGTTTTTCACTATTTTTGCATTACTGGGCACCTTTGCTCTTTTTCAAAGGGTACATGAAATTATCGTGCCAACTGCCTTCAGCTTAAACTTGGAGCCTTCGGTCTCTCGGCTCACTGCCGATATCGGCTAACCGGCTCATCACGTTGAACGTGTGAGTGCTCGAAGGCAATGGCACAAATAGCCATTGAGCTGAGATAGTAAGAGTGGCCCCGGTTGCGTAATAGGCAATGCGGCCATCGTATTTCCTGTCATCGGCCGGTCCCCCTTCTGAGATTGCAGGTTGCTTCTGTCTTCGGGTGTCTTTTCAAATGTTCTTCACATGTAGAGAAACACATGATTGAATCTTTCATCATTCGAGCCGTACAACATCTGAGTATCGCTGCTCTCCCACTTCAGAAAGGGCCCTGCGCTTACGACCCCCCCCCCTCCCTCGAGGTCAAATACGACCCCCCGTTGTGATTTCACAACGACAGCGTGCCCTGTTTATTGGACATTCGTAACTTATTGGAGAGTGAAGCTTCTGAAGACTGGAAAGTAGCATTGTGAAGCTCTAGGTTGGTAGTTTATAACTGCTCGAGCGCATTCAAACTCTTCCTTTTTATCACGTTGGCCACATTATTAGTCACCGGTGGCTCATAAGTGAGCGGCCACATGGGACAGTATGAGCGACACCTGACTCGTAACCTTTTGAACCACTTTGTAGGTTATTGCCGTCAGTTTCTAGCAATCTCTTTCTTACATTCTCATAACTTGTCAAAAGCGAACTCCCATCAGGGATGAGCGAGAGAAATGTTACCATCTTCAGAAAATATTTTGAATTGAAAATTGGGATTTTTTCAGCTAGTTATTGCCATGCCAGAAACCTCCAAGATATTTTTCTTCTGGGTGAAGCCTTGACGGTGAGGACTCTCGGGGCTGTGATCACAAATGACACATCTACTCGTCGTCGGCGCCATATGGCCCCAAGGGTGCCATTTTGGCGCTAGCAGCCTTCTTGTCATCGAATTCGATACAAAATCCTACGTAGGGCATTTGATATTTTTGTTGCAGACACATCACTCCTTTATAGGCTGGCGCCAGTGGACGCCAACTTGGCGCCACAACCTTTTCCAGAAAGTCGATGTAAACATGAGCAAAGAAATATAGCTTTCAAAGCAAAGAGCAAAGTCATATCTTCCTCTTAGGAGAAGAAAAGCTTTACATCAGGTGAACAGGTGATCGAACCGATCGATCGAACTCGCCATCACATCCACAGATCAATGAGCCCTTTATTGCTATTGGAACGACTTCTCAACAATTTTCATTACTTGCCTTTTTGCCTCGGTGGGGGCCAACACACCGGGAGGCAGCAGAGTGGCATTCCGCATGCCATTGCGATTGCTGGAAATGCGGAAATCTGCAAAAGATTAACAGTCTCAGTTTCCAATATGCTTCATAAATTGTTCAAAAGTTTATTAGAACTCGCCAGGAGAAGTACAAGCCAGCCCGATCTCATCGATTTCGTTGCTTTTCTGGAACTGTAGGGTTTAATGAATATAGATGGGATGCGTCATGCGAAAGAGCAGCAGAAACAGGCACCAATATGGCGCAGTTCGGGAAAGAGGTGGGGGAGGGGGGGCTTTTGGCGCATTCACTGCTTCACAACTGCCGGTTTACAAGTCTCACTCTGGTGGAACTTGCGAACTCTTAAAGCTGGAACACGCTCATCT